AAAATCCAAACAAAACACAAAACCCCCCCAAAAAATCCAAACAAAACACAAAACCCCCCCAAACAAACATGGAAAAAACACCYCAAAACACAAAAAGACCCCAACTGGAAGACCCATTTGATCCATTTGTTGTTGACAATCCAGTAATGGAAGGAATTACATTGGAATAGTATTTTCCCATTTCACACACAGTATAGCACAATGTGACAGTAAGCACCTTGTATGCACAAGCTGAAGCATATGCTGAGGCTGAAGATTTGGAAAACAGTACTAAGTACAAGCATTCTCCCTGCAAGCGACAGATTGGGACTCTTAGTTAAAAAGGGACAGCATCAAAACTAAAATTTTGAGTGGCCCTCAAACACCAGAAAAGAAACAGGACCTCAAGCTAGTGGAAGTTCCTACATAAGGCAGTCAAATTTACAACCAGTGTATACATTCACTAAGGAATTACTTTTTTTTTTGGTAAAACCAACAATCCGACGTACTGCAGAGTCTGAATGTGAAATATAGGCACAAAATATATTCTCTACTTTTTTCAGTGTGGAAAAAATAGCTATTAACAATGTAATAAGAAAATCTACTATCAGGTGAGCAAAAATTTGTAACAATCTGAATAAAACAAAGTACTGTATAAAGGTGCAATATTGAGCAGATTTGATTTTGGTTTAAACATATGAGTAAATCATGAAACCTTTCTCTTCTTACCCATAAAGTATTTCACATTACCAGTATCATTCTAGTTCTTCCCAGTTGTCAGTAAGGTTACCTTTGCTTTGACGTCTAATACTAACCAGCTTTCCAGCTGATTTGATGCTCCACCTGGAACTATTTCCTGAGCTGGCCAGGTTTGTGTATTTTGTGGAGCCTTTGGTTTCATCTTCCCAGCCTGACCAGGCTGTATAGTCACTTAAAGGAGTTGCTGCATCACTGGTGGTGTCAGCAGTGGTAATCTGTGGTGGTTCCCATCCCTCAATCTCATCTGGTTTTTTAGATGGAACATTCTGCTTTATCACCAAACTGTCCCAAAAACCTGGCTTCTTTTCAGACTTCATCTCTTCCTTTAATTTTAGGTTTGTTCTAGAAAACAAATAATGATTATGTGATTAATTTATTCGTTTAATAATGTATGTAGTAGTTATTAATAAACATTCAATTAAATTATGTTTTACAGTGAGGAATGCTAATCATTGTCAGCCTGAGACAGCATATCCATTACTGTCAGCTTCAAGAAAAACACCCTCACAAACAAGTAAGCCTAAACACAGCAGAATCTTGCAGTGATAAATCAGAAGAGGATTGAGTATGGTCATTTTCTATTACAAAAGAATTTATATACTGCCATCCCCACCCCATTCCCATGGGGTAAATTCCAACAGAGCTGTGTTTGGAAACGTGCAAAGTATTTTAGGATGCATTAGAACAATTTTGGATTTTAACCAAAAAAAAACAAAAAAAAAAAATCCCAAACAATTTTTTTAAAAACCCAGGGTACAATAGTAGAGGAATATGAAAATGTTCTAACAGCAGCTTTAACACTGTTTACTCAGTGTTTACTCACTATGTTGCTCAGTTTCATATACCTGTTATCACCTCACCAGTTAAACCTTATACCTGAAAACAGTTAATGTACACAATATTAGGACTTTAAAGATATAAGGGTTTTCTAGTATTTTCATAAAGAGCCACACAATGTCATGAAAACAACTGTTTTGTATTGCTGGCAAGAACTCCCAAAATCCCCCTCCCAAATTCAAGAAATAATTGTAACTTCTCTCTCAAAAAGACATTGGAAAGGCTACTTGTATCACTGCTATTCTCATCACATTAAGAATCTTCAACCTGAATAATTTTTTCAGCATGGAATATTTGAATGATAGAATATCAACTGTTTATGCATAACTTTATACGCAGGATGATGTATGTAATCAAATAATGGGCCACAAGGAAAGGCTGAACACCAGGGTGAAACACACAACCTTTGGGGTTCAGTGATCTAAAAAGCAAATTGAAAACATTATCTGTATTAGCATATAAATTCTTTAGCCATACCTAAACTCATTGTTGAATCTTTTGCAAATATTTCTATTAAAAGAGCTTTGTTCCAATAATGAAAACTTAGGTCTATCACATTTAAACAGAAGCAACTCAAGCAATACCTTCAAAATTACCTTTCCTTTACTGCATTTTGAATTTATGATTGCTCAGAATTTTCACCTTGCTAAAACCATCCACAGACTCCAAAGACTTTTCTTGTATTTTGTGAGCAGCACACTTAAAAGTTGTATTTGTCTTTAAAAATAAGGTAAAATTGTGGTATATAATTAAAGAGAAATATCCATAACTTAAAAAAACAGGCAGTTATCATAGTAATAACGAAACAGCTCTGTTACCATACTTCTGCTCTCTTCACTGTATTACTTGATTCTTATAGTCAGCATAAATTGCAAAGCATTATTACAGGAGCCTAGCATCCTAAAATTGTACAGGGATAGTAGCTGGGAACTTCTAGGAAGTTTTATGGAACAGGCTAATATGAAAATAAAATACATGGGTTTACATTCCCAATTGTTTATTTATATAGATACACACCCTACATGCATATATCTATCTATCTATCTATCTATCTATCTATATATATATATATATAAAGTTGCATTCTAAACCACATTTATTTCAAAGTAAACTGGAGACAAAGCCTGCTACAGCAAGTCTTATCAAAGCTAATACTTGGCAGGAACAGATGTACTGATATGTGGCACATTTGGTTTGTAAAAAAACATGGTTTGTAAGGYAGTCAGGTGGCACATGTAGGTAAAGTCTACATATACTTGTAATAGGAAGACRGACTTTCCTGGGAAGAGTTTTCTATTCAGGGAACTGCTCTAACCATACCAGCACAAGTGTGCCAAAAATATACTCAGTGCCAACAGGGAAGACTTGCAGATCCCAGGATCTCCATTTAACCTTTGTAGGTATAGTAAGACTTTGAAAGAAAAAGTAAGGCAYGCAAAAAAAAGGTATTTGTAAACTCAATCATAAGTAATCTCTAAGAGGAAAGGCAGAGTGTGAGAATGACCCTTTTACTCACAAGCCTATACTAGTTTTCTACAGTAAAAAAAAAAATTATTACGCAGCTGAATTCCTTTTCCTTCCTGACAAACCTAAAAATGTTAACATCATGTCCTTTCCTAGTACAGCATGCCTTATTCATTGTAAGCTTAACATACATAGCTTTGCCCATAAACCTTCTTCTGTCAATTTGATTTCCAGCAGTTACCATTAGTGTTTATCAGCGTCCAGCTTCATTACWTTGCACAACTATTTTCTGATCCAGTGAATGTATTTTAATAGCAGATAGTCCAAATGGTTCTACTCACCCTTTGGATTTGGGAGACTTGCATCCTGCTAGCAATTGCTGTTCATCATCTTTATTGAACATAGACGTCACTTCCTTCCAACCCCGGAAACTTGCACCTTGAACCTACAGAGACAAGTAAATCCTCATCAGTGTGAATTACAGAGTTACAAGCATAGAGTGGGACTGCCCCTGCTGATGCTGGGGGGCTGACAGGCAGCAGTGGCTGTCTGTATCTCCTGCGGGCGGTGCTGCTGGCAATGAAGTGAGGATGAAGCTTACACATCATGGCCATACAGGGGAAAGAGCCGCTCTGGTTACTGCAGCAAGAACTCTTTCTTGCTGAGCAGAGAATACAAAACGTTGGTGGTTTTGTGATGTCACGGAGTACAGCTGGGCTCCATTTTAATGCATTACAGTAAGAAAGGAATCTAGGCTGCTTCAAAGATGGTCTAAAGGGCTTCAGTAGACAGGAAATAAATCAAACTGTCATTTCTAGAGTCACAACAGACAGGACAGCCAMATGAATTATGAAACTCATTAGGTTTAACCTGCTTTATACATATTATCCCTCTTGGGAACCCCAAAACTACAGTTTCTGGCCCTGCAAGGCAAGAATGGTAAGAGCATTGGCTCACCAGCAAAATGTGAGATGTGGCATTAATGCATCACAGTGCACTCTCTAAATTTACTGTGACCATTAAGCACACGGCATAAATGACTTTTTAAACTTTATTAAAGGTTCGATTCTACCTCCCTCAAGACAAAATAACTAGGTATAGATTATTTTTACTTTGATAGCATGCTTACAAAAATACACACGTGTGCCAAGCACAGAATATGAAAGTTGTTGCTCTTCTTCACARTATCCAGTAAGAATGGCAGTGATAGTCTGTCAGTGCTACTTGACTATATTTAAAAAATACAATAAATTATCAAGTATAATAATCAAAATAAAACCATAGCTGTCAAGACAAGGAAAGGCTRATTCACAACCTATTATTATGCTTTATACTTTTTGCAGAACTCAGGGATGTAAGTTAGTTTCAACTTGCCATTTAGGTTTGAATCAATTACAACTCCTCACCTTTCAGAAACACAAAGCCTCTATCATTTACAGGAGTAACACCAACCTTGCAGGTTAGTCTTTGGAGTATCTCCATCTCTTGCTCCCCCATTTTATTGTCTCCTGCTTTCATGTCTCACCCACCCTCCCTACTCACATTTGAAYTGCATCAACTACTCCAACAGGAGACACAGCAGGGCTGTTTTAGATSAGGAGGGAGGTCTAACCTAGCCTCAGTGGCACTTTGGTTACATACAAACACCAATCCAGCTATGGGAATCGCACTGCAAGGACTCTGAAGAGAGAAGGYTGAGCAAGCTCAGAGCAATTGAAGGCTCTTGTTCATCATATATGGACAGACTGGGTACACCAGAGCCAGGCTCACCACAACTGAGGCCTCCACAACTGCTCTGCTCACTCTTCCTAAACCCATGCCTACTCTTACTGTAAAACCGCAGCATTCCCCATGGCTTCATGAGGTAAAATCAACAGCTTCTACAGTTATTTTCTTCCCACTCTGACAAAACACTGACTACAGATTTTAGTATGCAAATCCTCATGTTTAATTTAAACATACACTTTCTATTTGTAATTAAGTTGAAAATATGTAGATACTACATGAAAATATGTAGCATAAAATAAAACCAGACAAGCTGTAGATGATATCTTCAAACAGATACCTTGCCATACAAAATCTTTGTATTTAACTATCAGCCTCTCCAAGCAGTATTTAACATTTAATGTTTCTGTGGTATAAATGATGTAGGCCTAAACTCTCAATTTTAATCAATAAAGGCCTAATACTGTTATCTGTTTTGGTTGTTCAATTAAATTTTGTAAGTTTCCCATGAGGATATATGACTCTGATTGGGCTTCCTCTCACTGCAAAGCACTTAATCCACAACAAACTTCCAGGAAGTCGACTGTTGAAGGAAGTAGTCCTTTTTAAAACCCAAAAGAACAAAACAAAACAAACAAAAACTCCCGAAGCAAATAAAAAAGAGGGAGAAACTTGAGCCAGCACTTAGCTTTTCATGTGTTAAAAATTCCTGCACCTTGCATGAATCCACCAGTTCTGAGGAAATCAGTAGAGGAAGTAGCTAAGCCACTATCCATCATATCTGAGTTGTCATAATCCAGGGAAGTTTCCACTGATTTAAAAAGGTGTATATAACCCCCAATTTTAAGAAAACGGAATTATGAAAGACTATGGAACTACAGATCTGTCAGTCTCACCTCTTTGCCAAGCAAGATTCTGAAAAAGATCCTCCTGGAAAGTATATTACAGAACATGGAAAATAAGGAGGGAATTGGTGACAGCCAACATGACTTCACCRGTAGCAAATTCTGMCWGACAAATTTGGTGGCCTTCTATGACACCATTACAGCACCCCTGGATGAGGAAAGAACAACTGATGTCATCTACATGGATTTGAGCAAAGCATTTGACACTGTCCTGCACAATATTCTTGTCTCTAAACTGGAGAGACATGGGTTTGATGGATGAACCATTCAGTGAGTAAGGAATTGAGGGGATGTTTGCACTCAAAGAGTTTCAGTCAACAGCTCCATGTCCCAGTGGAGACCAATGACCAGAGACATTCCTGAGGGGTCAGTACAGGGACCGGGCCTGTTTAACATCTTTGTTGGGGATGTGGACAATGGGATTGAGCGCACCCTCTGCAAGTTTGTGGATGGCACCAAGCTGGGTGGTGCAGCCAACAAGCTGGAGAGCAGGATGCAGAGGGACTTGGCGTTACAAACTGGTTTAAATACAGAAGTGTAGAGAAAACAAAGTCTCTGTGTATAAAATAGAAAGAATTTTGAAGGTTCAAAAAGTTCCCAAAAAAACAAGATAAAAACCAAACGAGATTAAATGTTAATGTCAAAAAATTGATGTATTTTTAATTTAACAGAGAGGCAAAGAGAAAGAAAGYGAAAAGTAGAGAAAAGTTAGAAAAAAACAAGGTGACTTAAAAAAGCACAGGCTACTTCACCACCACTGCTGCTACATTTGTTGCTACTGAATCGGGGGAGGGGGGCAGGGGTAGTGAAGCAGCCTTTGCTTTTTGTTTCTGGTGTTTGAAGTGTCTTATCAGCCTCCTCCGATCTGGAGAGTAGTTTGGCTGGAATGCGGCAGCCCGTGCTCTGAAATGCAGCCGAACCTCGGGGAACTGGCGGTGCCCAAAGCACTGAACGCAGGAGCAAGGCCAGGGGTTCCAAAACCCACTCGTGATTTCAGACCACGGCACCGGGGGACTCCCTCAAGCAGGGGGCTCCGGGGGGACTCCCTCAAGCAGGGGGCTCCGGGGGGACTCCCTCAAGCAGGTGGCACCGGGGGGACTCCCTCAAGCAGGTGGCACCGGGGGACTCCCTCAAGCAGGTGGCACCGGGGGACTCCATCAAGCAGGTGGCACCGGGGGACTCCATCAAGCAGGGGGCTCCGGGGGGACTCCATCAAGCAGGGGGCACCGGGGGACTCCCTCAAGCAGGTGGCTCCGGGGGGCCTCAGGGCCTCTCTCAGCAGGCGACGGTGATGGGGGAGGGGAAGGCAAAGGCCAAAGATTCTGCCCTTTGCTTTCCCCCTCCACGCTGCACCAGTTTTGCCTTTCTTTTTATGSGCCTCAAGGCAGGCTACTCACAGTCCATCCTGCACGTAGTTTTCAGGTTTTCAAGAATGATTAAGATAAGCAGATAGAATGACCGAGCACTTTCTGAAGCCTTTCTCTTATTATCAGGCTCTCACACCTTGACGGGACAGAGGCAGGCCCATGCGAAACTCCTGAAGCCAACAAGGCAAAGGGCAAGGTCCTGCAGCTGGGTCATGGGAATCCCAGTCACAAGGATGGGTGGATCAGGGATTGAGAAGAGCAAGCTCAACATGATTCAGCAATGTACACTTGTGGCCAGAAAGCCAAATGTGTTCTGAGCTGCAACAAAAGGAGCATGGCCAGTGGGTCAAGGGAGGTGAATCTCCYCCTCTACTCTGCTTTTGTGAGATCCTACCTGGAGTACTGTGTCCAGCTCTGGAGATGCCAATAAAATAACAACACAGACCTGCTAAAGTGAGCCCAGAGGAGGGCYGTGAAGATGCTCAGAGGGCTGCAGCACCTCTTCTATGAACATGGGTCTGAGACACATGGAACTGTTCAGTCTGGAGAAGAGAAGGCTCCAGGCAGACCCCTCAAGGGGTGCTGTAAGAAAGTTAAAGAGAAGCTTTTGACAAGGGCATGTAATAATAGGGCAAGGAGGAATGGCGTTAAGCTGAAGGAGGATAGATTTAGGTTAACTATTAGGAAGAAATTCTTTACTGTGAGAGTAGGGAGGCACTAGAACAGTTCGCCCAGAGAAGTTGTGGATGCCTCATCCCTGGAAGTATTCAAAACAAAGCTGGATAGGCCTTTGAGCAACCAGGTCTAGTGGAAGGTATCCCTGACCATGGCAAGAGGTTTGGAACTAGATGATGTTTAAGGTCTCAGCTAACCCAAACCACTCCATGACTCTATCATCTGTTATCTTACTAAAATTCTATTATTTCAGGTCTTTTTGGGGAGGAACTTTTGCTACCCTAGGCAAAGACACAGCTACAAGCTGCATTTAAAAACTCATACTGCTCTTAAACTGAAAAAGACACAAATATACYTCAGTGATGTAATTTCTATATAAGCTGTCTTCTTCAAAAATGCTGCTTCATCAAGTCATTCCCACCTAATAAATTTGCTGATTACAAAAAAATAGAACCTCACTGTTACTAGTTTTCAGATAGCAATTTAAGACAAWGAAAAGGCTTTATTTATATTATATGTGCCTTTAAAAAACCACATTGATGAAAGATGGCTTGAAGAGAAGCATTTATATGCACACATTCAATGTAAAAAAAAAAAAAGGATACACCTATACATACACCTTCTTTAATATAGAACATCACACATACTTCACCAATACAATCCCAACCTTTGCTGCACGGTTTGGATGCCCAAGCAATCCTCCAACCAAAAAAAAAAAAAAGGAGGAAAGTACCAATATCTAGATAGAAGCTTTCCATACTTTTTGACTTTAG